AATCATTCGAGGATCGCTCGAGAATCGATCTAGCGAATCGAGCGATTGGGCCGGGCTCCAAATGAGTCTCGGCCTACATCGGGCTTTAGGAATCTCGCGGTCGTTATTACGGATCATGTCCCGGTAAGTGTTGGGAATAACGCTCTCCCAAACGGCTGTCGTTGTCAGAAATTCGCCAAGTTTCGGACTGCCACGTTGTGATGTCTTAACGCGTCGTCGCCGTCGTCGTTAACTTTATGCGACGCGAGACAAAACTTTCGTCAGACCTGTGAATTGTCGGGCCTAATCTCTCAGGACACGCGCGGAGAAGTAACGAAGTAGGCTGCATGCGAATAAAGTTGAGAAAGTTTTAACTTTGCGGAGGAACCTTTCACACAAGCGTTAGAGACTTGGGAGAAGAAACCTCGATCTAATCGGGCTGCGCCGTTTGCGGAATGAAACATGAGGGAAACTTTCGCGATCGATATATTTCAGAGCAGAAAAGTAACGTCACTCGTCGTGAAAGATACGCGACGACGGAAACAATGTCGGAAGTAAGCGATGCGGGCAAAGTAACGGGCAATAAAAACGTGCGGAAAGTAACTCCCTTCGCTTCGCAAAGATTTGGAAATACGGGACAGGCTTTTATGGCCTTTGCGTAAAGGAACTGCTTCTTCGCGCGAGACGGCGTTCCTAAGCTCGTTGAAACAAATGTAGCCGAATACCGGCTTATTTGCATACTCATTGTGCCGTAAGTGCTTCACCCTAACGGCGGTGGTTGGTAGATTTCGTAGCAAAACGGGATGGTGCGAGGTCTCGAAAGCGCGATGAAAATTGTTAGCACCAGCCAAGGAAGTGTCGCCTGAAAATTATACGTGAAATTAAGTTGCATTGTAAATTATTTAAATATTTCGTTCTTTCATCGTTTTGCAACAAGAATTTTTTTATCGTTTTTCTAGTTTAGATAGGGACTACTGTGATATAAAAAAATACATAAAATATTTTATTTATAAAATAATAAAATTTACAGCTCGTTGATTTAAAATCAATGTGGATACAGGAATGACCAATGCGAACCGAAATGCCAATGTTTGTATGAGCGGACAATCCTTTTATTAAAACAATTAACTTTCCAGAACATGTTGACTATTGATTGTAGTCATCTTTAGCCATGCAATTTTTTGTTTGCGTTAATAAGAAAGAATTTACGAATATATACAATAGATGACATATCTCGAATTTAATAAATAAGACTGAATTATTAAATTGTATCTATTATTTGTCGAACGATAATATTTTTAATGTTCGAATCTCAAAATATGCTTTTCTCAACGATTTATGACTGTTCAGTTTGTTTACATGGTCCTCAGCAACTTACATGATTATCAGCGAAACAATTACGAGGACACAGATAGATAGATTTGTCTACTTTTTAATCTTAAAGCTTGTCAATTATTGTTGACGAAAAAAAACCTTCGAGAATTTAAAATTGTGATATGAGATTGTAATAAATTTCAATAACGATTTGAATTAATAATAGCTCTTTTTGTTTCATATTTTTATATTAATAATTTGGATTTCTTCTTTTTAATCATATCATCTTGTTTCATACTTGTAAATCGCCATTTAATGCACTTATTTATACTTATATCATTTTATTTATTATATATTTTAATAGAGTGAGACGTTATATCGCGAAAAGCATGACAATAAATTCCGCATGCATGACACAACACATTTTATGGCTGTTATCTGAACGTGTAAGTACATTCGCAGTAATTTCCGTCATCTTGCGGCCGGTCTTATCAAAATGTGCAGAGGAATTCCCCGTTAAATCTCTCTCATTTCTTGCAACATCAAATTAAATCTAGCCGCAAAACCGCGAACAATTTTAAAGACGGTGCATGTCACATCAATATTTTACAATCACTTGCGATGAGACGTATATCTAGTCCTACTGAAACTTAAAAAAATACAACTATCATTACATTAATATATAAAATATGTACAATATAATTCAAGTAGTGACAAAATTGACATTGAGTTGCGTACGTTACTTGATCGATAATCGATGATTTTTTGAACTTCTTAACTCGAGACATAAGATCGCGTATATTTCGTCAGCCAGGCAACGATTGCCAAAAATGGGGAGCACATTGCAATTAATAATATCGGTAATTGGTGTATGCGTACCGCGTGCCGCTGAACTTCAAAGGTCATCGCCTGGTAGCGCGAGTTTAATTAACGCAATCAAATGAAAATATTCATGTACGCGCCGACGCTGAGATTGGTGTGCGTGGACGTGTTCGTGTGACGGCGTGAGCCGCCAGCTCATTATGCAAAAGTTCTGTGCGTTTCCCGCAATTTCAATATTCGTTCAATTCCCGAAAGGCTCGCGACTGTAAATCGTGGCATTGACACAGATCGCGCGCTTCGAAATCGGATATAACTCGACTTTTCGATCGGGCATTTTAAACCGCCGTCGAGATCGACGCGTATCGCATGCTATCGTAATTAAAATAGTGTTCCGATAAAACATAATGAATGTAAAACGTTTCATATGCATATTTAATATACTCTCTTTATTTTCTCATATTAAAATAAATGGAATTATAACATGTTTATACATACCAATGAAGAGAATGATACGCACAATTATAAATTTATACCATAACGTATTCGTATATTTAATAGAGCACGTTGAAAATTGTTTTCGTTATTTAATTATGCGTTTGAAATCACAAAAGTTTCTTGCTCCACGTGTCGCGGATTTCGATAAATACTTTTTTCGATCATTACGTTCCGTTTATGATTTATTTATAAAATCTAAAATTATTCGAATAACATATCGTCCTTTGCCTGAAACTTACATAATTGTTACGTAAGAAAATAGTCATATATTAAACGACATATGTATATTGATTTGTCATAGATCATAATGCGTGTGTCTCCCTGACATGGAAAAGTTTCTAGTGCCAGCTCAACGTATATTCTTGCATTTGTTTCCCTCATTTTGCGTAATCACGCGTAATCGCGCGCATTACCTGACACTCGATCTAATGTCAGATATTAACGCACATCCCGGAAATCGTGCAGCTTTCTGTCGCTAGCTCAGCAGCAATTGGTGTCCTTCGTCATCCCCCTACAATTGTCTCGAGGATGCGAGTGGAGGCTCGCACGGTAATTGCGGATCGACGTATCGCGTTAACGCGTCACGTTCTCCCGCGTTATATCTATACGTGCTTGCGTTTGACGATAAAGCGCAGTCTTTAAGACGTGGGAACGCACGCATCTGAACACGTGACCTTCGCCGATATCGATACGATGAAGCGTGCATGGATTGGCGCACTTACGGTATCGCTCGCCCTTAATTGAGTAACGTAGAGACATTGTCGCACTGTCATTACTTCCGCACGCCACCATCCGATTGCTAAAATAAATGGCTATGACTTCGTCAGCGGATATAATTTCGTCAAGCCTTCTTAAAATTAAATAAATTAAGCAATCTCGCGTATGTCGACTATACTTCCCGATTTGAAACGATTTGAATATTGTTTGAAATCGGGATTATTTAATTTTAAGAAGGCTTGACGAAATTATATCCGCCGACGAAGCCATTATAGCCATTTACCTTAGTCGCAGGAAAAAATGACATAATTTACTTTTACATCCCGGGAGGGAAGGGATTATTATCATTTCGTCGTCGTGTCCCTGAGTTATACATGTCATCGACAATTGTCACGACGGGCTATCGGTGATAGACGACAAACTTTTTAAAGTCGGCAATGGATGGAACGGTCTCTACCATCGAAATCAATGCACGCAGCGCTGCTGTGGAAGTCTATAAGAAAATTATTAGCAAATTTATTATTAGCGTTCGATCTGTTCTTCGATACCGGCAAACTCGATAGTTTAATCTCGACATTTATTTCGGTTAAGATATACGACCCTTAAATTACGCTCGATAAATCGTATGCATCCTTCTCCCTCTATAAATATATTTGCGCGCACGTGTGTGTATCGGACTTTTATTATAAAAGAAATTCTTCGGGAAAATCATCGTTTTACTATACATCGGCAATTATTGTTGCGCCTCTTTCAAGTTGAATTTTACCGGCGTTTTATCAACGACTTCGAAATTACGCGAGTAATCCATCGCGGCGATGACGAGCGATTTACGAGCGGAAAACGAGCGCGACGCATCGAATTACATGTCGTTACGTCGCGGCTCTTTATACCGCAGGAACGCCTTACGTGCTCGAGTATATCCGCCGTAATGCGAGCCGGTATGCACGCGAGCTCGTACACGCCGTGCGCGTACACGCACCCACGTATTGACACTTCTGCGGTGCAGCAGCGTGTGATGCGCCGACATAAACGCGCACGGTTCGTTGCTGCACCCCGATGTGTGTGTGTATGTCACGCGTGCATGTATGTGAAATCGACCACGTGTGCTCGTCGCCGTCGTCGTTTACGCGTTTACGAAGGGACGCCGGGGGGGAGAAGGGGGAGGGCACGGAGGCGCTGTAGCGGGAAGAATCGGTGGACGCATACTAATTAAAAGCCGCATTGTTGCGCGTCGTCGCGAGGAGATGTGCTAATTACATCTCGAAGGAGAGCCTTTTGCGCCCTTTTCCCCCCTTTCTACCCGCGTAGTGAATGAAGCGCGAATCTCGCGCCTGGCTTTCTTTCTTCTCGTCTGAAAGGACCCGGTCCTTCCACGCGCGTCGTTGCCTCGAATCGACTCTTGAGGTACACCTTCGATCCTCCCCTCTCTCGCTTATGCATTTTATACGCACCCGCGCGAAAGAACGGTCTCGCAAAATTGCCCATTTCCATTCGCGCAGACTCTGTGCTTGATGAATGTGACGCGCGTTTTTCACGTATTATCCGCGATACCGCCACGCATAGCGTAATTATTATTGTATCTCGGGGAGAAAGATGAATTGGACATACCGCTCGTTAGAGAGAAAATAATTTGTATATTCGGATTTTTAACATTACCTTTCCTCTGTGTTTAGATTGACGAATGACGCCGTAGCAGAGAGCTGGTTGGTGCGCGGATACCGGGACGCAAGAGGTAAGTCGAAATTAATCATTGCTCTCAAATTGTACGATCGGTCGATTGAAATTTTCTAAATCTTGTCGCGATCGTACAATTTCGAACATAGTCATTGTTAAGTAATATATATATATTTACGCTTATATATGTTCGCTTATATATGTACGCTTATATATATTCTCATGGTAGAACCGAATGTCGAATGTTTAACGTTGCCTATTATTTCGGTTACAATTTATTAGCTGCTGCAACTCGATATTAAAAGCATATAGGAATATTTCGAATACAGCATTATATTGATTTCAAACGTTACATTTCGTATAGCGTCTTGTAATAGTTGGATAATTAAAATATTAATAATTTGTCACTTATTCAACATCATATATTCTCTAGTACGATCACTTTCGATTTTATTATTTTATCTCTCTTTTCATATTGATTTTTAAAGCGCGATCTATATTTCGTGAAATAATTTTATATTTCATAATTTCTGACACACATCTACATGTGTATATGTGTGTGCTTTATATATATATATATATATATATATATATATATATATTCATTATAAAAATACAAAATTTTCATGACAACATTATGTAAAAATTTCTGGTTCTTCCGTGAATATATATAATATATGAAAGATGAATATGTTACATGTATAATATACATTTAACTGTGTGATAACAAAGTAGGGAATAGATAATGTCTATATTAAAACCAAGTACCGGACAGTAGATAGCCCGTGTATCCACAAAAATCGCGAGAAACCCCACTGTTCTCGCTACTTCCTCTTTCAACTTCCGCGCGGTCCTCATCTTCCCATCCTTGCGGACGAAGAGTCGATGCTTAGAATTTAAAATGCATTTTACGTACTGCATTCTCATCTACTTCCTCTCCTTTCGTTGTTCTCTATCTCTCGTCATTTCCTCTATCTTTTTCCGCGTGTACCGAATCCTATCTCCGAGCTTTCCAAGACCACGACTCTCGTGCCCACTCGTTCAACAGACGAAACATATGTATCTTTATGAACGGTATGTAGAGTAGACAAGTGCATTAAAAACCTCGGGCGTTAGTTGAAGTTTCAAGGCAGAGGAGAGGACGACCGGGTAGAAGGGTGAACGCGGAGGGCTTGAGAAGGATACACAAAAGAATGCAAAGTAAGAACCACGACCTCCACTAACCTCCTCCCCGGCCAACCACTTCGTATTCTCTTCTAGCCGCACTCTCCTCTCCATTCCCTTTTCCTCCCTCGCATACCTGAACAACCCCGTTTCATGCATTCCTCCTGCTCACCTCCCCCATCGCGCCGTGTAATCCTCCTCTTCCTTTACCATATCGTTTCTCTTGTGCCGGAGGTTACAACGCATTATCATACAAGGCGACACAGCGCCTCGCCTTCCCTTAATTGTTTTCCCAGTCCCTCGAAGGGGAGGGGACAAGAGCGACCATCCCGACACGTTCTTGCAGACGATCGTCCGCTCAAGTGCGAGAACGGCGCCGAAGAGTGTCTCCTCTCTTTGCACGCGAGTTTCGAAAGCGCGAGAGGCAACGGGGGTGAGAAGAAAGCGCGACAATTTACGAGTGGTCACCGGGGTGTGGTAGGGCGTCGAATTTTCTCTCTGCTATCCGCACGAGATCCTTCGTATTCTGCAATGTTCGACATCAAAGGCTCGATGGCGGGGAGGACATTTCGCGCGCTGATGGCTGTGAGTAAAACGAAGGGAAGGGAACGCGCTCTCTTATTGGTGTCTACAGGCGGAAAATATCTTTTTTTCTGTGGTTCAGTGATTTCGGGGCCGCAGACATCGCTAGTATCGGCGACAAACGGTACTTTTTGTTTGCGGACACGCTCGATTTCGCGATGCCGTACGCACTTTTAACGAGGACGCCTCGTGATCTGGAAACGATATCAAAGCGTTCGTTAATCTTTTTTAATCGCGAATTTTGTGTAAATTACATGGGAAGTTATTAATTCAAATAATGCGTAAATTTGCGTAAATAAAATAAAATTTAGCAATGACATTTATATCATAGGTCGACATTTCAAAATTATTGCAGAATTGCGTCGTTTGGCTAAACGTTCTAGACCACCTTCTATGACTTAGAGAAATTTGACATTAGTCGCATAAAGTCGTAATAAAGGGATAACGGCCTTATGAACTTTGTGGTCGGTTTTCGACATCTGTCTAAGATGAGTCGGTTCACCCCCAATTAACCCCCGATGAGCGAAACATTTCTCAAACTCTCATTACGGATCTGTTTGCTGGATATACGCATGATTCATTACCCAAAATTTAATTCAAAATTACGCGATTGATTCTCGTTCAACTTATTTATAATTTCATGAAAATAACCAACTGCAATTTGCTTTTGATTATTTAATATTTTACCAATCGAACATAAGTATCAATTATTGAGTAAAGCGTAATCTTCGGGCGGTAAAAATATATATAAATCGACTCAGGAAATTCGATCTGGCGTATCTATCGCGCATAATTAAATGTGACTTTCTTAGTTGACAAGACCGGATATTAGATCTACGGCAAAAACTATTATCTGACTGCATGTCTATGCGTGTCGCATGGAATGTAATACCGCATCGAGCGGTTGCAGCGCTAATTGTGTGCATTCCGACTAATCGCCCCTGATTTTACGCGTCGCCGGACATTGCAGCCCCTCGTCAAAGAGACGCTGAATATACATCGGTATCGGGAATCAACGATAAACTTTATCGAGACTGAGATCACGAGTGAGATCATTAGGAGAAATTATGCAATTTATGCAAGATCATTAGGAGAAATTTATTCTCGCAATGCTCGCAGGGATTCAAGTGTGCGTACGGTATCGCGAACAAAAGCGGAGAAGAGCAGTTTCTTCGCTGCTCCAAACACGCGACACGCAGAAATGTCGCCGAGAATGGATGGATGGAGCATTTACGTCATATCCCACATAAGTGGACACATAAGTACACGTAAGTGTGCACGAAGGCTTATTAATGTGACCGCTTCGTTGTCGAGAAGAGTGATGGGGATAGGAGGCGTGCGTACATTAAATAGCCGTCGAGTATGGAGAATGACAATGGTATATCGGTTTGTTCTTCCGGAACGAACGCTTCCATGTCGTTTTGTACGCGTCGCGACGAATGGGGCCGGATCTTCGGTGACTGGGTCCCCGCAACGCGGTTGGACCCCAGTCGATTATCCTCGGCCAATCACGGTGTAACCAAGGTATAAAGAACCGCGTAACAATTACGAGCGCGGTCTCTGCACGCGATACGTCCGATAAATATAATCGCGCGAGTAAAATATACTTCTTTCGCGATAGACGAAGCGTATCCATCGCTTACGCAAAACTTCTGCCATTGCGAACTTGATTAAATTGAGCTCTCGCATAATTACGATTAATGACAACTTGGAATGATAAAAAGATTCGCAATCTTGCGCGTGACGCAAAATGTCGGGCTCGTCTGTAATTCCGCCTCACGATTGTAGAATGTGACACATATTCCATGTAAAATAATTGTGACAAGAATAACGTCCTCGCATTTGTGTCGCAATATGCGACAAGAGCGAAGGGTGGGGAAGCTCTTCGTAAGCGCTCTATCATTCTCGCTTATCGCGCTACTGCATTCCGCCGATCGCTGTTCTCCGCTCTGATCAAGATTCAGGAAAAAAAAAATAAAGAATTATGTCGGAATCGTGTCACGGATCCACACGCGATTGAAATGACGGACGGCATTAAATAAAATACTTTTGATAGAGCTAATGGCAGCTCAAAGATTACGTTCACGGTCGGCGTGCTTGTTTCGCTTAGGCATTTGAGCGCGTGGTGAACGGAAGGCGATGGATTCTATGCGAAGGAGAACGTGCGAATGTGTCACGTTTATGTAGACATGTATAATGTCGCACGCGAATACAAGCATACGGGTAATTACGCAAATAGATGTGCGCATATGTCGTGCGGGCTTACGAGTCGTCGTTACACATGCGAGGATGACTCCGATCGGTCCTCGATTCGCGCTATCTTCGAACGCCTTGTCGTTACATTACTCGTACTTGTAACACACGCGTAGACATTTTTAGAAAAATTTTGTAAACAATATTCGATAAATTTAGATTCATAGATACGGTTTCGCGAATCTATACTTTCAAGATTAAAATCTTTAAAGTTCAATTTTCTCTCCCCCGAAGTTTGTATCATTCTCTTTCAAAGGTGGAAAATAAAAAATATATCTACTCTCGGCTGATATAGGTGTATAAAAAAATATAGCGAGAAAGAACGAAACGCCGGTTCTTGCGAGATACCGCTACTATCGATATTTCCGGTTCCTGCTTCAAGAAGCGTGTTCTGGAAGATAATTCGTTATCGCGCTGGACTTTCTGTCCTTTCCTGTGAAAGAGAGAAGACGATGACGACGGCGGTATTTGCGTCGGGACGTCGCGACGAGGGTGGAGGGAGAGAGGAGGCAATTAAAGAGGGAGAATAATCCTGAATCAGCGTCATCGCGCAAGCGAGACGTATCCTCGTCGAGCGAGCCAACCGGATGCACATTGTGCGCCGTTCTTTGCGCGTCCTTCTGTTGTCGTGTAAGAAAAATCTCGTTGGTCTCGCGACGCGTTAGAGAAGAAGAATCGGTCTAAACTTCCGAATGAGGCAATTATCAATGCTCTCGGAAAACTCAAATGCATCGAAGAAAGATAAATATGCTGCTAATCATCTAATCAAGAATATTTATCGAGAAAAAAACATTTTTTGACAGTCTGATAATTATTTGTGACAGATTTATAATTAACGAGCGTTCTCGAAATACTTTTGAGCATCGATCATCACGGGTTTTATCATTGTATAAATATATCTAATTAACCCTAAATTTGGTATCCTAGAAAGAAATTTCCAAGTTTTAGCCGTAAAAGTAAAGGATGAAGTTTTTAATCAAAACCAATCATTTATTCACTCTCCACATTTTGACTTTAATCTCTCAAAGTTTTTTCATATCGGAATGATGGGTGATTTTA